AGGAAGAGTATGTATGGACATTCGACAACAGGGATTAGATACATGCTTGGTTGTTTAAATTGTTCTTCTATGCTTAATGGGTTCCTAATGCTTAGTTTTAGGTTAGACAACAAATGATCAAATTAGGGAATTAGGAACACAAGGTTATGACCAAACACCATGGCTTAATCATACTTTAGCTAGAATCAATCCGTTAATCTAATTGAACTTGGGAACTTATTTGCTTGAGTTATTTCATTCTTTCTTGTTTTATTTATTTTCTTTTTTTCATTTCTATTTTGTGTAGGGGAAACAAATTGGATCATTCAATCACCAATCCTCGTGGGATCGACCTCGCACTTACATATGCTATACTACCAAACGGCTCGTGCACTTGCGAGTATCACAAGTTGAGGATGCAGCTGAATCCATTTTGATGCAGCTGAATCGAAGCAACAATAACATAATCTCTATAAATTGTAAATTTTGAGAAACACAGTGACCAATTTGGCTAAATTTTTTTCTAAGTGACCAAATTGAATTTTCGTGTAAAACCCAGTAACAACAAAAATATTTAACCCATAATTTTAAAAAGTCACAATTAAATACTACTAAGATTTTATAAAATTGGTAATACAGTACCATGGTATAAAGTAGATAGTAACAGCCGTCCAGGTGTCGTCTCATTATTAGTCCGTATACCAGCACCAGACAAATGCCATGTGGTAATGCAGTACCACTGTATAAAGTAGATAGAAGGTATTTAATGATCAGTTGGTAGAGGCCAGCAAGACTTTTAAAGTCTCCTCCTGAGAGTTAAAGAAGCTCCTCTGCCTGTCTCCGCGTGCTATTGCTGTCTTGTTTTGCAAATCTGCATTCATCATCTCCTTCTCCTTCTCCTTCTACCTACGAGAGAAGCTCTGTGTCTGTGCGTCTTCATCCATCTTCAGTCTCTTCTTCTCGTTTCTTAATTAATTAACTAGCATTAATATGATCTTCTGTTTGTCTTGCGCAGGGTTACACAAGGAAACTAAGATATGGCAGTAGAATCTGTGCTTACTTTTGCGGCCGAGGGAATACTGACGAAGCTGTCTTCCCTTGCTGCTCACGAAATCGGTCTTGCCTGGGGATTCAAAGCTGAACTAAACAGGCTTCGCAAAACACTGTCCACCATTGAAGGTTACTTAGCTGACGTTGCCCAGAAACCACAAGGTCGGAGCAAGTCCGTAGAAGATTGGGTGACGAATCTTCAACGCCTAGCTCAAGATGCAGATGATGTCTTGGATGAATTCAACTATGAACTTCTCCGGCGCAAAGTAGAAATCCGAAATCATATGAAGAAAAAGGTACTCAACTTCTTTTCACTCTCCAATCCGGTTGCATTCCGCCTTAAAATTGCACATAAAATTCAGAAGATCAATGCATCCTTGGCGGATCTCAAGCGTCAAGCATCTACCCTTGAACTCGTTTCCAGAGAAAAATATGCAGCCCCTCAAGGAATTACAGGACGCATACAAACCCACTCACTTCCTGAAAAAGATATCGTTGGCAGGGAGGAGGTTGTGTCAAACATAGTTACAACCTTGACCAACTCCAACATCAATCAAGAAAATCTTGCTGTTATGGCCATTGTGGGAATGGCAGGCCTAGGAAAGACAACTTTGGCCAAGTCTATATACAATGATAATTCTATAAAAGGGTATTTTGATCCAAAAGTATGGGTGTGCGTATCTGATCCTTTTGACGTCAAATTGATTCTAATTTCCATGTTAGAATCTCTTAGCCCATCAAAAGCCACTGTAAGAGAAAATCTAGATGCACTGCTAAAATACCTTCAAGAAGAGCTGAAAGGGAAAAAATACTTGCTGGTACTTGATGATGTCTGGAATGAAGATTCGGAGAAATGGGATGGCTTGATGGATCTTTTGTTAAAGCTTGATTCTGCTCGGGGAAGCACAATTATTGTCACTACCCGCAGTGCCGAAGTTGCATCAATCTCAGAGAAAAAACTTAAAAAACTTCCACGACAAGATTTGGAACTTCTATCAACAGATGAATGCTGGTCCATATTGAAACATGCAGCTTGCTCAGATGGTAGTTCTGATATACCTCTTCATTTAGAGAGTATTGGACGGGAGATTGCTAAAAAATGTGATGGTCTACCATTGATGGCAAAGGTACACGTACTATATTATATTTTTCTCTCTTTTTTCTTCTGATACAAGCATTGCTTACAGCGGGCATTTTTATTTATTTAAATTTTATAGATTGTTGGATGAGTTCTCGGCATTTAGTGATCGTATCATGAATGGGTTACTTTGAATATTGCATTGATGCATTTTCATGTAGAAGGAAATAACAAGGTCTGAAAGAAGAGAATAGTTTCATGTCATCATGCCCATCACAATCTCTTTCTTCACAATCACTTTATTAAATAGAAATCAACAAAGATGTTCCAGAAGACATTTGCACTAGTACCCCCACCGGAAAAGCCCTTTAGATTCCAACTCTTGGCTCAATTTTAGCATCCAATTGTCTACAAAAGTGGATTATAGAAACTAATCCAACCAATTGGAGATTTAATTACACACCTAAGACTTAATACAAGTATTCTTTTTTTTTTTTTCTTTTCCTTCTAAAGAAAGAAAAACAAATTTTGGGCAACAAGTACCATGCTTAAGTGCAATAACTAACAGACATAATGGCTCGCACAAAACCAAAGAACTAACAGTCAAAGGGCAAGACTGTCATTTGAATCTTTAAAACCTAAATATTAGATTAAAACGAGTTACCAATTATAGCAATGCAACTCAAAATACATAGGTTGTGTGTCACTTTGCGCATATTCTGTCACACTTTTCCCCTTTTACTAGTTTTTATGTGTCATTTAATAGGATTTCATAAAGTTCGTCAAAAAATTTGTTAAATCTTTGGGTCTATTTTTTTACCTCACATGGATTTTTCACCTCATCCAATTCCGTTAAGTTCGTTAAGCATGCAAACATGGTGCAAGCCTAATAAAAATATGGGGAATGCTAGCAATTTTGCACCTTCTCCCTTCTTGTCACAACATGTGTCAATTTATTTACACTTAAAACAATGTCATTAATAATCAACTAAGCTAGTTTTTGTTTTCCAAATTTATCCTTATTAAATGAAATATTTAATTTAAATATATTGACTTCCCTAATTTCTTCAATTTAAAAAATATTTTCTCCCTATATCTCACTCTCAATCCCCTCTCTATCCTTTGCAGTGCCCTACAACCCTTCTTCTGCCTCCCCACTTCTCCCCAAAACAAACACTAATACCCAGCAATGACCCATGACCAGTACCCAATCAAGCATATGAAAGAAACCCACTTCCTCTCCCCCTCATTACCACCAAACAACATCTCCCTCATCCCTACCCAACATCTCCCTCATCCACCGTCCACCTGACCTCCTTCGACCTGACCTCCTTCGCTTTCTCTGTTGTTTGTAATTGAATAATTTTTTATTTTATTTCTCAAATCTCACCACCAAAGCACCATTTTTTATTTTTATTTGGTTTTGTTTATAATAATAAAAAGTGTTTGAACTTTCATGATGGAAGCAAAGGGTCTATACAGGTTAGAGAGAGACAAAAAATCTTGGATTTTTTTTTTCTCATCGCACAAATGAGAGAGAGAGAGAGAGAGGTTGGGCTGTGTCGTGGGTGGGTGGGGTGGCTTGGGATCGAGCTGTGATGATTTTTGACTTTTTAGTTTCTATCAAGGTCATATATGGAAATATAATATAATATTTTTTCAAAATTGAGTGAGAGATAAGTGCTACATGTCATTATATGATAAGAGAGAAGGTTCAAAGGAGAATATTAGAGAGAAGGTTGCTAGCATTCTCCTAAAAATATTTAACATTTTAAAAATCTAAAAAAGATAATTTAAATTTTTAGTGTAAGAATAAAAAAAAATCAATAAAGCTTAAATAAAAAATAAAAACTATTTGTAAGGCCCCCGAGACCTCCCTCTGGCTCTCTTTCTATGATACCGGCGGGCCTACCACTTGCCAACACTTTGATTCCCTTCAAATCACATAAAATCAATTAAAAAATTTAAAAAGAAAGACAGCACATGCACAAGAAAAGAAAAAAAGGAAAAAACAGAGCAAGTCAGCCTCAAAGAAAACTTTGCTTGTCTCAAAACCCACCAAACTCCTTTTATCAGACAAAATTCCAAGAGTTTTAGGTGTTTGTTAAAACAAGTAATATAGGGGGTGTGACTATAATAAATCAACCATGTGGGTTCTCACTGCCATTATGCCAAACCTCAAAGGGTCTAAATGAAATGCTCCCTACAATTATAGTCAAATTTTGATTAAACTACCTAATTGTTTACTTTGATCATTAGTAAAATTGGATGTACACATATCCTAACTCAAGTATACCAACAGGTTTTGGGAGGCATGCTGCGTTCTAAAAACAGTATAGATGAATGGCGGTCAATTCAAGAAAGTGAAATATGGAAATTACCAGAAGGTGATAAGAGAATCATGTTAGTTTTGAAGTTGAGTTTTGATAATTTGAAATCACCATCTTTAAAACATTGTTTTGCATATTGCTCAATATTTAAGAAAGATTTTGAAATTGGAAGGGAGAACTTGGTCCAACTCTGGATGGCTGAAGGATTGCTCCACCCTTCAAGGGATCTAGAGATGGAAGATATAGGAAATGATTATTTTAATATTCTATTGCAAAACTCCTTTTTTCAAGATGTTACAATGGAGACAGATGAAGTTGTTATCACATGCAAGATGCACGATCTTGTGCATGATCTTGCAGAATTAGTGTCAAAATCTGTTGGGAAATTGCGGTCCCTATTTTCAAATGGTGAAGGCCTTAGTAATATCTTGTTGAGTTTTAATTCTTTACGAGTGTTGAATTTATACTTCGCTGAAATTGAGGAGTTGCCAAGTTCAATTGGCAGGTTGAAACACTTGAGGTATTTGGATGTTTCTAGAACAAAAATCAAAGAACTTCCAAAATCTATTGGCAAGCTTTACAATCTGCAGACGTTAAGAATGTATGGTACATGGAATCTTAAAAGGTTTCCAAAGGAAATGAAAAATTTGATCAACTTGAGGCATGTTTATTTCGACTATGGTAGGGAAGTTCCATTTGGGATGAGACGATTGACTCGTCTGCAAACATTACGTTACTTTAATTTGGATAAGGAAAGGAATCATGGAATTGACGAGTTGGGTGGCTTAAAACAATTAAAAGGTGAACTAACTATCACATCTTTGGAACATGTGAGAGACAAAGACGAAGCGAAGAAATCAAATTTAGCAGGGAAAGCAAATATACGAAAGTTGACATTAGACTGGGGGTATTCCAGGGAGAGAAACAACAAGGAGAGTGATGTTGATGTACTAGAAGGCCTCCAACCGAACCCAGAGTTAGAAATCTTAAATATTAAAAACTTCATGGGTGGTAAATTAGCATCATGGATGATGAGTCTACTCAATTTGAAAGAGATCTCGTTATCCAACTGCAAGGAATGTGAAGAAGTCCCTCCACTCGGCCATTTGCCAAATCTTAGGCATGTTAAATTTGAACATATGGATAAGCTTAAATGTGTGGGAGTTGAGTTTTATGGTTATAACCATGTTTACGGTGGTGCGGCTTTGTTTCCATCATTGGAAACGTTACGTTTTTATGATTGCCCAGCTCTAATTGAATGGAAGGAAGTGGATGTGATTACGCCAGCAGCGGTGTTTCCCTGCCTTGAGGAGTTGACTCTGTTTGACTGTCCTAGTATAGAATTCATTCCAATCACCCAGGGCATGCCATGTCTCCGCGTATTGAAGATTGAGAATTGTGATAAGTTATCAAGCTGGCCGAGTGGGTTAGAATATTGCACCTCTCTTCAGGATTCGGATATTGACAACTGCCCTGAGCTAACATGCATTTCAGTTCACGGTCTCACCTCCCTTAGGAATTTGCATATTAAAAATTGTCAAAATTTGAGGCATTTTCCGGTTGATGGGCTACAGACCCTCGTCTCTCTTGAGGAGTGGACTCTAATTGACTGTCCTAGTCTAGAGTTCATTTCAATTACCACCCAGAGCCAGGGCATGCCATGTCTCCGCATATTGAAGATTGAGAATTGTGAGAAATTATCAAGCTAGCCGAGTGGGTTGGAATATTGCACCTCTCTTCAAGAATTGCATATTGAAAATTGTCAAAATTTGAGGCATTTTCCGGTTGATGGGCTACAGACCGTCGTCTCTCTTGAGGAGTTGACTCTAATTGACTGTCCTAGTCTAGAGTTCATTTCAATTACCACCCAGAGCCAGGGCATGCCATGTCTCCGCATATTGAAGATTGAGAATTGTGAGAAATTATCAAGCTGGCCGAGTGGGTTGGAATATTGCACCTCTCTTCAAGAATTGCATATTGAAAATTGTCAAAATTTGAGGCATTTTCCGGTTGATGGGCTACAGACCCTCGTCTCTCTTGAGGAGTGGACTCTAATTGACTGTCCTAGTTTAGAGTTCATTTCAATTACCACCCAGAGCCAGGGCATGCCATGTCTCCGCATATTGAAGATTGAGAATTGTGAGAAATTATCAAGCTGGCCGAGTGGGTTGGAATATTGCACCTCTCTTCAAGAATTGCATATTGAAAATTGTCAAAATTTGAGGCATTTTCCGGTTGATGGGCTACAGACCCTCGTCTCTCTTGAGGAGTTGACTCTAATTGACTGTCCTAGTCTAGAGTTCATTTCAATTACCACCCAGAGCCAGGGCATGCCACGTCTCCGCATATTGAAGATTGAGAATTGTGAGAAATTATCAAGCTGGCCGAGTGGGTTGGAATATTGCACCTCTCTTCAGGAATTGCGTATTAAAAACTGTCAAAATTTGAGGCATTTACCGGTTGATGGGCTACAGACCCTCGTCTCTCTTGAGGAGTTGACTCTAATTGACTGTTCTAGTCTAGAGTTCATTCCAATTACCACCCAGAGCCAAGGCATGCCATGTCTCCGCAAATTGAAGATTAAGAAATGTGAGAAATTATCAAGCTGGCCGAGTGGGTTGGAATATTGCACCTCTCTTCAGGAATTGCGTATTAAAAATTGTCAAAATTTGAGGCATTTACCGGTTGATGGGCTACAAACCCTTGTCTCTCTTGAGGAGTTGACTCTATTTGACTGTCCTAATATAGAGTTCATTCCAATTACCACCCAGAGCCAGAGCATGCCATGTCTCCGCAAATTGAAGATTGAGAATTGTGAGAAATTATCAAGCTGGCCGAGTGGGTTGGAATATTGCACCTCTCTTCGGAAATTGCATATTACAAATTGTCAAAATTTGAGGCATTTACCGGTTGATGCGCTACAGAACCTTGTCTCTCTTAAGGAGCTGTACATAGAGGATTGCACTAATCTAGAAGCTATTCCCAGTTTAGACAACCTCACATCCCTCCTTGACTTGTTTATTTGGGGTTGTGATGGGCTCACAAGTCTACCGAGGGGTCTACAATCCTGCACATCTCTTAAGGACTTGACAATCGGTGAATGCCACAATTTGATCTCGCTGGCAGATGTCGATGTGTCCAGGTTGCAGTCTCTTTTCTATTTACAAATATGGGATTGTCGGAAATTAAAATATTTGCCAACGGGGCTACGCTTTGGGAGTTGGGCATATATGGCAATCGGTAAGTTTTGGAAGGAGCTCGATTATTTCCCTGATTTTGAGCTTCCATCACAAATCCGATGGTTACGGATCTCAGGGTGGCCTAAGCTCAAGTCTCTGCCTCAAGAAATTCAACACTCGACTACTTGTTTAAAACAATTGAATATAGAATCTCTCTACAGCATGGAGGCTCTTCCAGAGTGGTTGGGTAACCTTTCATCTCTTATCTCCCTGAATATCTGGGATTGTAAGAATTTGATGTATTTGCCTACCGTTGAAGTTATGCAACACCTCACCAAATTAGAAATGCTATCGATTAGTGGATGTCCCCGTCTAGCAGAAAGATGTGCCAAGGAGAACGGCCCAGAATGGCACAAGATTTCTCACATCCCAGATATAAAAGGTAATTAATACTCTGATCAAATCAAATCATTAATTAATTGTTTATTCAATTCCCTTCTCTCACTTTTCTTTTTCCGGGTTTAACTACCACAGTTGACGGAGTTGACCCGCGTAAAGAATCGGAATCTTCAAATGATGATTCGACTCACTCAGAGCCTCACCAAACTAGCACAGTACTCAACTGTTCATGTTTTTCATGAATGTTCCTTCGGGGAGTAGCTGCAACTTTCACATTGAAGCACAAAGTGAGCCTCTTTTTAAAGTTTTTGCAGAGCTTTATACTTCCTATGTTGCTTTACTCATGGCATCTATCATCATTTCATCAATTGGTATAATTTGCCTACTTTCAGAAGGCTTTTACTCGAATCAGAAGAACAAGTGCTGAGAAACATTAGGTGAAATTTTTTTCCATCCAGGTACTTCTGTTTCCCATTCCTTAGATATTAGGTGACCCAAATTCATGAGAAATATCTTAATATTGAATTATGACATTCATCCAGGTACTTCTGTTTCCCATTCGCTAAAAATCATTTTTCATATTGAATTAGCCGAATATATATTGCACAGGGGTTAGCTTAGTTGTTTCACTGATGGCATCTAATATTGTTTCAATTTGCCACAGTTTGTTGGTTTTCAGAAGGATCTTACTCAATTGGAAGAACAAGTGATGCGCAAAAGGTGCAAACTTAGTGCAGGTACTTCAGTTCAGTTCCCATTCCCCTGCATCACTATTTATTCATTTCTTTGGAGATAAATGCTGGAAGAAGAAAAAAAGTAACTGTATTTGATGAGAATTACGCTAATCATTATATCATACATTCCCATCTAATCATAACATCACTTTACTAGCATGGAGAATACAATTATTCTTAGAAATCATTTTCCTATTTTGTTTTTCATTCTTCTTTATCAGCCGTTAAGTGTTTCATATATTTTCAAAGCTTCAATTACCATGGTCTCTTTATGTGGAAACTTACAGAGAAAGTACTACCATTTGAAAGTTTCAAACACCAGTTACAGTTTCCAGTTTAATTTATTGTCTGTTTTGCTAAAATGAATCAATGAACAAGTTCTAGATCATATCACATACTAATTCCATATTAATCCCACATTAATTCATTATTCTAGGATTCTACTTGCTAATTAAATCTAGGTTCATATTGATGTTCAATTTTCTGGTGCTGCCAATCGTATATTAGTGCAGGACTGTTCTTGGCACTCTATAAAGTAAGCAAGAGAAGTGTTTGGCCCCAGAAAATTATTCCTGTTGTTTCAATAAGAATTCTTATTGGTGAATTGAGGTTAACCTCTGCTCAAGCTTTAATAGATTCCTTTTTTTTTTCAATAAGAATTTGGTTGGCAACCTTTTGTAAATTGTTTGCTTCATCTATTAATCTGCAACATTTGTTATATGCTTCCATCTTACCACTGGATGCACCTCTCTTTCCTCACTTTGTAACAATTGTGTGAAGAATCCGAGTTATTTATGAGATAACCTACACACAGTAATGTCTCTTCAGAATTTGATGATACTCTTTTGCAGTTTTGGGGCTAGCATCCATTTGAAGTGTAAACAATCCTTAGAAGTTGTTTATAAAAATTTGATGAACTGGAGGGTTTACTGGAGTAATGAGGGAACCTTGAAGCTTTCAGTGAACTATCTATTTGTATATGTGAGAATCTGAAGAATCTACCAGCAGTGGAAGCTCTGAAAATTTCCCCAAAATGAAAAGATGCACCGAGAAGAGCCAGAGTCATGTGTACGTTTCTTTCTCAAATCGGAATTTATGATTTGTATCGGCATTTATGATTTGTTTTCTTCTCCTGTCTCACTTTCATTTATCGTTAATTAACTTATTGGCCATTAAGTTTGTTGTCTACTGCAACACAAAGAAGAAGAAGAAGAAGATGATGACAGGACCCGCCCCGAATTCCTCGGAACTCGAGACGAATCTTGTGGAAATTCCGACATCACACCGATGCCGGGCCCACTTACTAAAAATTTAGCATCTTTTCCAAATTAAGGGAAAAGAGAACGAGACTCTGCCGAAAAATTTCGGCAGAGTCTCCCCTGTAAATTGAACATTCCCCAAAAATTCCAACCTGCATAAAACACATTTTAAAACACCAACTGGCAGCATGCACAAGTTAACAACATGCAATCACATAGTAGGCCTCCGGCCTTCAAGTAATTCAAAACAGAACCAACAATGTTCTTAGGTCAATTAATACATAAACCATGTAATTAATGACCCCAAACAACTTTGCAAATACCACAGAAATCATTAAACCGGATTCAAATCCAACAATCACATCGAAAACCACAACAGAATCCAATCACATACACATAATCGATTAAACCTTTTAAACACAATAATATTTCGCGGCTGCACCTAGATGAGACCTCAGGCTGTCTACGTACCCTTGGGCAAGGGATCAAGCCACACGTAGTTCTCATCATCAATGGTCACAACTCCGGTAATAAACCAATATTTACAACAGAACCAACTATACATTTAAGATCTATCACAATTCCAAATCCGACAAAAACACATTGGAACATTATCAATTTCTTCCCAAGGCATCGTATTAAGAAGACATCCGAAGGGCCTGGACAAACTCCAACGGGCCTGGGCAAAATAAATCAATCTCCGAAGGGACTGGGCAAACTCCGACGGGCCTGGGCAAAATAAATCAATCTCCGA